CGGACCGATTATTTCACGTGAAGTCTTGTTAAGAGCAGACGTTTAGATGTTCAAAGCAGTGCCACCTGCATCAGCTGGGGACAGCGGATTCCTACCTGTGCTCGGGGCTGTGTCAGCAGAGCGCTCGGCACACTCAGCGCACCACGGCCAGCCGTAGCGGTCAGCCGGTGTTCCCTCCAGGGACCTCGTCAGCTCTAAGTCCAATTCCATGGTGATAGTAGTTTTCACTGCAGCCCGAGGCCTGATTCAGAGATGCACGTGTTGGTGCCAGATACCCCCCTACTTACACAGCAAGGCGAAGGAGAAAATCAGGGTCTTGGGAGGGAAACGGTCTCGTAGAAGGAAAATGCGTATTCTAATTCTCACCTCCTGGATCAGACCAGTCAGAGGAAGACATTAGTTGCCGGCATCAGTCTGGCAAAGACGCCTTGGCATCTGGCTCCAGTGTCAGTTGTCTCTCAGGATCAAGGCTTCATCTACCGACCGAAGGGCTGGGGCGGAGACGGAGGTGAAAGCTGGTTTAGAAGACAGTTTAATGCCCGGGGAGAGCACCCCGCGGCAGTCTCACGTTCTGCTGAGTTTGCGTCTCACCCCCTGGGCGTGCTTGCTGATAACGGGGGGTCGCAGCCCTCCACACCTCTGCTTCTTAATGGCTTTGTGCCGTGGCACCCAGTGTGCAAAACGGAAACAGAAATTCACGGGAGAAGGGTCGCCCCACTCAGTAGATGAAGGGCGGTTAAGAAAGGCTGGTGGCGACCCACGAAACCGGTTCCACAGCGTGCAAGGTCACACCTGCCTTCCACGACACCGCAGCCCCGCTGCCCGCCCTGTGGCCCTGACTCGCCCTTGTTCCGTGACAGATGCTGCCATGTACAACAACTCTGGGGTCCTGCCCACGTCGCCCGTGGCACCCACGACCTACGGTGCGTGTGGGTCCTGGCTGTGGGAGGTCAGCGGGGCGAGGAGGCTGGGGGTTGTGGAGGCTGCAGTCTCGGTGGGAGGCTTGGCCCCCAGCAGCTGTGGGTGAGCCGTTCCCTGGGGGGCCGGCAGTTTGCCTCACCGATGAGGCCTGAATCCACCCCTCCCCGCTGCTGGTTTGAGTGATCCCGCAGCCAAGGCGGAGTCTGGAGCCGTCCCAGCTGCTTCAGGGGAGTCTGGGGAGCTAGGGGCAGAGACACAGAAGGGGATATTCTCAGGGGACAGCCATGGTGGGGGTCTCAGTGAAACAAAATGCTAGTTTCTCTCGTTGGAGATAATTATGCAAAAGCATCGTACCCATTGCTCCAGACACTCACTGGCCACGCGAGCCACTATCTGAGCATCGCGTGATCGCCTGTCCCTAAAGACAGCCCTCAGCTGCCTCGCCTCGTCTCAGAGGATGCAGAGTGAGACTGTTGGTCACCTGTCTCCACGAGGTGTGGCTGGGGCCAGTAGCCCCAGGCCGCGGTGAGGAAGGAACCGAATCTTGGGAAGACGAGCAGAGCTCTCCGCTGCCCAGGCTGCAGCATGACGGGGTGGCCACTGTCCCCGGGGAGGCGTGCAGGTGCAGAGCACAGCAGCAAGGCCCGAGGACAGAGCGGGAAGTGGCATCTCGCACGGTCACGGGTCTGCCCCGTCTCTCGTCCAGGCCCCTGTGTGCCTCCCCGCCCCAGAGGTGACAGCACCCTGCATCTTTCTCTTCCTGGTCACAGACCCAATGCTTAAAGCCGACGACAGCAACACTCGAGTCCTGATTGGCTGCTTGGTGGCCATCATCTTCATCCTCCTGGCCGTCATCGTCATCATCCTCTGGAGGCAGTTCTGGCAGAAGATGCTGGAGAAGGTGAGGGCACAAAGCCGCTCCTCCCCCGCTGGCCCCCGGGAGCGAGGCCGGACAGTCAGGCCCCCGGGGCCCCAGAAAGCGGCAGGTGGAGAAGCTGGTGGCTGGAAGGGCTCGGAAAAGAGTAAGCCAGTCCATGTCCCCGTGTTTGGAATGAGACTTTGCAGCCTCCCTAGAACACTGCTCCCAGTAGGTGGACTCAGCTCGATGTCACCTTGAAGACTCGGGCTCCCTGGGTGTGGGGTGGGTGGCAGTGTCTGTGTTCTCAAAAGATCGCAGGTAGTTGTGATGCACAACCCACAATTCCTACAGTCTCTTCTTCACTGTTTGCTTGTTTGTTTTGTGGGGTGTGTGCATGTGTGTGTGCATGCATATGTGTCTGCACGTGCATGTATGTGCACACGCATACAGGTGTGCATGTATGTGTATGGTTGTGCACGCACATGTACATGCATGCGCACTGCATGCACGTGTGCATGCGTGCATGCATGTGTGTCCGTGCATGCACATACTCTGTGTGTGCATGTATGCACGTGTGAGCGTGCATGTGTGTGTGCGTGTGCATGCGTGTCGCATCTATGTAGGCATGTGTGTGTGCGTGTATGCATGTGAGTGTGCACATACTCTGTGTGTGCATGTATGCACGTGTGCGCATGCACGCGTGTCACATCTATGTAGGCATGTGTGCATGCGCGTATGCGTGTGAGTGTGCATGTGCTCACGTATGTGGGTGTGCACATGTGTGCATGTGTGAGTGTGCATGCAGATGTGCATGTGTGCACGTGTGCATGTGTATGCATGTGCACGAGTGTGCATGTGCACACACATGTGTGTGCACATGTGTGCATGTGTGAATGTGCATGCAGATGTGCATGTGTGCATGTGTGCCTATGTGTGCATGTGTATGCATGTGCACGGGTGTACATGTGCACACACATGTGTGTGCGCTGTATGCATGCATGCGTGTATGTGCATGTGTGCGCACATGTGAATGTGTGCATATATGTATGTGTGTGTGTGCCTGTGTGTGCGTGTGCATGTGTATGCATGTGCGCGTGTGTGTATGTGTAAAAGCATCTGGATCTGGCTTCATTAACACTCAGGCCGAGTTCCACACAGTTCAGTCCCACATCCTGGCATGAGAAGGTTGTGGTGCTCCATCTGAGTCCCTCCTCAGAGGCTTCTCATCCAGCCAAATCATCTGAATAATTTTCATTATCTTGGTTCGTAAACACATCGGGGCAGGGGGTGTCCCCGTGACCCACAGGGCCAGAGCGAGGCGTCATCGTGTTGGCGCGCACTTGCCGAATTAGCGAGCGTTTGAATTTACGCTTTGCAAGTGGAGGCCGCGGAAGGCGGGGCCGCGAGGCTGCTGTTTGCAGAGCCCTGAAATCCCCTAAGGGGCGGCTTCCGCAGGCTCCCAGCGGTGAGGGGCTGTGTCTGGGGCGCGTGCAGGCCCTGGGGGACGCGGACTGCAGCTGGGAAGCGGTGACAGCCTCCATCCCATGGAGGGGGGTAGGCGGGGGGACCGGCCGCTGCGCCCCCACGCGCTCCCCCCTGTGCCGCCCCTCCAGGCCTCGCGCAGGATGCTGGACGACGAGATGACCGTCAGCCTGTCGCTGCCCAGCGAGGCCAGCATGTTCAACAACAACCGCTCCTCGTCGCCCAGCGAGCAGGAGTCCGGCTCCACCTACGACCGCATCTTCCCGCTGCGCCCCGACTACCAGGAGCCCTCGCGGCTGATCCGCAAGCTCCCGGGCTTTGCTGCGGGCGAGGAGGAGCCAGGTGCGGGCGGGGGGCGCATGGCAGACGCAGGCTCAGCCCACCGGGTGTTTGGGGGGCCCCTGCGGAAGTGGGAGCAAGAGGGTCAAAGACGTTGCTAGGCGTTTAACCGGAAGAGCCGCCGTGGCCCCCCAGTTCACCCTCCGCGGTTGGGGCAGGGGGTCAGCACCCAGATAAGGAGTCCACCCGGCCACCCAGGTCACCGCGGTGAGGTCAGCGCCAGGATCTCCCCTGGGGGTTGATAAATAAACGAAGCGACCCCCCCGCACCCCAACTCCCAGTTTAGCCGCCCAGATACTTGTCAACCCGTTTCCGCTGATTTCTCCTTGCGGAACGTGTGTTAGAATCAGACCAGATTTTATTATGAGAATCGACGTTTCTTGCCTTTCCTAAATAGAAATGCCGCTTGATAAGACGGTGCCAGCTGATTTAGTCACGTAAATTTAATCAGAACGTTTTTAAATACCTAAACTCGGTTAAATCGGCGATAGTCTTTAAAGTAACACGCTAGTAAGTCTGCAGCCTTCCTCCCTGCTCTGGTATGGGGGGCCTCCCTGTGGTAGCTTTGCCACGGACGGTCCGCGGGGGGTGCTGACCATGCCGTAGCGAGCGCTGGTGGTGAACGGTGGTGGCCTTCCTGAAGGCCACAGGAGGGGTCTCTAGGGGAAGCGAGGAGGGATGTCACGAGTGTGCCCTGGCCGCCTGGGGCAAGTCCAGCCCCCCCCACTCGGTCCCTCCTCTAAGCGATCTGCAGAGACGCCCAGAAGGCGACCCACCGGCCTTGTCTTGGCAGGCTGCAGCGGCGTCGTGAAGCCAGCGCAGGCCGGCGGGCCCGAGGGCGTGCCCCACTACGCAGAGGCTGACATCGTGAACCTCCAGGGCGTGACAGGAGGCAACACGTATTCGGTGCCTGCGGTCACCATGGACCTGCTCTCGGGAAAGGACGTGGCCGTGGAAGGGTTCCCCAGGAAGCTCCTCACTTTCAAGGAGAAGCTGGGCGAGGGCCAGTTTGGCGAGGTGAGCCGTGCCTGGTAGCGCAAAGGCGGGGGCTGGTAGCAGTGGCCGCGGGAGCGAAGTGCCCCTTCCCAAGGGGGTCCACATGCGAATGTCTCGCCCCGAGGATGTTCCTCAAGGGGACGCGTGTGGGGCAGCCTCATCTTTGTCAAGCGCCTCTGACTTCTGTGTAGGAGTTTTTAAAACAGGCAAGTCACTGGACTTAGTAGATCCTGAAAGACGCTCCACGTTTCAGTGTTTTACAATAGGTTACAGAGGGTGGGGACCCACAGATGCGATCATCTTGCCTAAGCTGTCCAAGTCCAGCCTGATAGCCTCTTTGCTTTTTCCCTTTTTCATGAGGATTATGTATAAAATGGTCAAAAACAACCTCGCCCTGCCTTTGGTCCCAGAGCCAGCCACTGAGGAATGAATCACCGGCTAAGACAAGGCGGGGCTCTCTCCTCAGTGGCCCCAGAGTCATGTGTGTAAGAGCTGGCTCGTCACCCTGATTTCGGCCCCGTGAACCTTCCAAAACGAACGCAGCCATTTAAGTTACAGAAGGAGGTCCTCAAGGCCACCTCCGCACTCCAGGAGCAATGCTCGGCTTGACAGGCGTGGTTGGTTTTCAGGGGTGGGCGACACGCTTGTCCCTTGTCCCTTTGCCCTCGGAGGAGATAGACTGGCGCAGGCCTGTTCTGCTGCTGTCATTCATGGGCGTTGCTTGTAGGAAGTCGCCTTACGGCTTGTATGACCAGGAGATAGACTGGCGCAGGCCTGTTCTGCTGCTGTGATTCATGGGCGTTGCTTGTAGTGCTAATGTCATCCTGGAGAGGAAGTCGCCTTACGGCTTATATGACTTGGTAGCTGAACTTCCTTGACGTGAAGTTCAAGCATCTGTCCCGAGGTGACACTTGACAGTGAGCGTGGCTGTCACAAAATGCTACGCCGCAGATTCGCTCGTCCAGCACGCAGTGTCCCGATCTACGTGTGTCGTTGGTAATGCAGTAACGATTCATGTTGTTTTTGTCAAATCTCCGAATCAAAGATAGTTCCCCGAATCTTCTGGTTGGCCTTCGGTCATTTTGCCCAAGTGGTAAGAGCTAGTTTATGCCCAGGAAGTGCCCCGCAGAGTGCCGAGACGCCCTCGGGAGGAGCGAGAGGCTGAGACGAGCTGCCCGTTGTGTAGGTTCACCTCTGTGAAGTGGAAAGGATGGACACGTTCAAAGACAAGGATTTCGCCCTGGACGTCAGTGCCGACCAGCCCGTCCTGGTGGCTGTGAAGATGCTGCGAGCAGACGCCAACAAGAACGCCAGGTCTGCGGCTCCGAGTCCCCTCTGTGTGTTTCGCCTTCGGGGCGGGGAAGGCCGGACGCTCAGCAGCTTGTTCTCTCGGGCCGGGAGGCGGGAGGCCTGCGAGCTGCCTCGCGCTCCGCGGTTAGGGTCCATTTCCTGACGGGTCAGCATCGCCACCTTTGTTCTCCGCAAACGCGCACTGTCCCACGCCGTCCGCCCCCGGGGCTGCTCTGCTTCCTGCTCCCTCCTCCGTTGCCCAGACGTCCCGTGGCCTTGGCCGCCTCCTCCAGGCAGGCTTCTCAGCCGCACACACCTCCCTCCCTGCGCCTCTCTCTTCTCCCTTCATCCTTTGCCTCTGTTTACTTCCTCGCCCCTTTTCTCTCTTATGCTCCTTTTCTTCTATGTCCAGCACCACCCCCCCCAAATGCAGAGCTACTTCCACTTGGAAAAGTGCCCATGGACCTCAAAGCAAAAGGACCACAGTCCTTTAGCGGTTTCCAAACTGGGACCCACCCCCCACACTGCGGCTTCCAGCCACACTGCGCTGCCCGCAGCCTTTCCGCTGTACGGATGGTGGGCCCGTCCCCACCCGAGAGCAGCTGCCGGGGAGCCCCAGGGCCCCACATCCGGGGACCCCACGCCCGCCTGGGGCTGCTGGCCATTTGTCTCGCTGGTGGTCAGAGTGCGAGAGACCAAACTATCCCGTGTCCAAGTGGCTGTGAGTTCCCCAGACGGCGATGGGGTTTCGCGAGGAGCCTGGCGCTTGCCAGGATGTGGAATGCAGGCAAGAGGAGGCGAAGAGGTCAAGCGGGGGCTGGTCTGTCAGTCTGCATGATGGGGACATTGTCTGGGCCCCCAGAGACAGGGAGCAGCCCCCACGCTTAGCCGAGCGCACGACTCGGGGACTGGAAGGGGAGCACAGCCGAGGACACGGGGGCTTCGGCGTCGTCCTGCAGGGCACGGGTGGGTGTACCCCAGCCAGTGTGCACCCCTTGGCAATGGCGCTGGCCCGACTCAGCCCCCTCAGGCCGTGGAGTGCCCCGTTTTGGGGGGACGCAGCTGATCCGCTTTGGGGCCGTATTGATAGGGTCCGGCTCCCAGTCCGGGATTCCTAGAAATCCCACAGGAGGCGGGGGACTGCCCGCCCCACCGGTGGCTCTGGGGGCGTGGCCAGTGGCCTCGCTTGCCCATCACCCCTGGGAAGGCTGGAACCTTCCGAATGGAGTACGGCTGTCACCGGGTTCTCAGATGATGCCAGCCTTGGCCAAGCGAGTCCTGTCTGGCAGCGCCCACGTCACCACGCAGACCTCGCAACGGGCTGCGGGGCGCTTGGGTTGGGGGCCGCCAGTGTGGGGGGCCAGGGAGTGGGCAGCCTGGACCCTGCTCACCCGCACCAGAGTCCCTGCTTTCCTAACGGAGACTCCACGGCTGTTTACAGGGTGGCCCCTGAGCGTGTGTGAGGAGCGCTGGGCGGCTCGCGTTCAGCCTCCGGCGCAGCAGGCCTTTCGGGGGACGCCCGGCATGCAGGCGTGGCTGTGCCACGGTGCTGCTCTCAGGCGTCACAGTGACGTGAGAGGCGCCGTGCCCGGGGGGAGCAGAGCGGGACAGTCGGGGTGCCAGAGTCTGTCTGCTGCAGGCTGTGCAGGGGAAGTGGGGAGGCGGGCAGGGCGGGGCTTCGCTGCGCCCGCACCGGCCCTGGCGATTCTGACCCGGCCGCGTCTGGGCGTGCCTCTGCGTGTGTGTCCCCAAAGGAACGACTTTCTCAAGGAGATAAAGATCATGTCCCGGCTCAAGGACGCCAACATCGTGCGCCTCCTGGCCGTGTGCACCGCCGACGACCCGCTGTGCATGGTCACCGAGTACATGGAGAACGGGGACCTCAACCAGTTTCTTTCCCGCCACGAGCCCCCCGGGTCTTCCGCCAGCAGTGTGCCTACTGTCAGGTGAACAGCCGGGGCCCCACCCTCCCCAGGGTCCAGCACCGGCCTGGGCCTGGAGCCGCAGCCCCGAGCCTCCCAGCTCATCAGCGATGCGGGCGGGGGAGGGCAGAGTGGAAGGCGCAGGGCCAGCCTCCCTGGGGCGTCGGGATGATGGGAGGAGGCCCACAGCACCCTGGCGTGGGTTTGGGACGGTGGCTGCGGTCGGTGAAGCCAGCGCCTTGCCCCGCTGCAGCAGGCGCCTGTCTCGCGGCTCCCTCTCCCTGCATTCAGCTCGCGTTTGTGTTTCCGCAGCTACGCGGACCTGAAGTTCATGGCCACCCAGATCGCCTCGGGCATGAAGTACCTGTCCTCACTGAACTTTGTCCACCGGGACCTGGCCACGCGAAACTGCTTGGTGGGCAAGAACTACACCATCAAGATCGCCGACTTCGGGATGAGCCGCAACCTGTACAGCGGGGACTACTACCGCATCCAGGGCCGCGCCGTGCTCCCCATCCGCTGGATGTCCTGGGAGAGCATCCTGCTGGTGAGTCCCCATCCGCTGGATGTCCTGGGAGAGCATCCTGCTGGTGAGTCCCCATCCGCTGGATGTCCCGGGAGAGCATCCTGCTGGTGGGTCCCCATCCGCTGAATGTCCTGGGACAGCACCCTGCTGGTGGGTCCCCAGCCCACCGGTCGCTATGGGCACAGCCGCCATGGGCATGGACCCGATGGAGATGGTGTCAGAGCGCGTCCTTCTGGGCCCCCAGGCAGGCCTCACGGGTCCAGCCCTCGCCCTCAGGAAGGGGGTAGGTGCCAGAGGGCGAGAGACCACTGCTCCCTCCCTGCAGGCTGTTCTGAGTCCCCTTCTCCTCATCAAACAGGGCAAGTTCACCACGGCGAGCGACGTGTGGGCCTTCGGGGTGACCCTGTGGGAGACTCTCACCTTCTGCCAGGAGCAGCCCTATTCCCAGCTGTCGGATGAGCAGGTCATCGAGAACACCGGGGAGTTCTTCCGGGACCAGGGCAGGCAGGTGAGAGCTGCTGGGGCTGGGACGTGCCCTCAGGCGCTCGTGGAGGAGGGGACAGCGCCCGACCTCCCAGGGCGGGCTCCTGGGGCCGGCTCCCGGGGCGGTGGTCTGGTCACTGGCCGTCCAGGAACGGGGGAGGCTGGGCCTTCCCAGCGCCCATGCCAACTCCGCTGTATCGCGGGTCTGCCGGGGTCACCGCAGTCACGAGGACTCGCGTCAGCCCCAGGAAGTCAAATCCTGTCTCGCGCATTTGATCTATTTCTCGCCCTAGACTGTGAGGTCTGTCTTCCTGGATGAAAAGCATAAGCTCGAGAGTGAATGAGTGAATGAGTGACTTCTTAGGGTTCGTTAAAATTTGGTTCGGGGGTCGGCGGTGTTGCTGGGCTCATCTGTCAGGGAAGGCGGGCGTATCCTGGACGTGCTGCTCCCGGGCAGGCCCCTCTGCGCCTGTCGTGGCCCCTCGGGGCTCACGCGCGTCCCAGTTCCTGGCTGCGATGCTCTCAGGTTTGTCTGGCTTGCTCGGTTTTTAGATTTCCTGTGAGATGTGGGATTTAAAGCTTGCTGGTGGCCGGAGCCCCGAGCGTGCCCCGAGCGTCCCCACAGCGTCCTGGCTGCAGCACACCCTTGGGGTGGGACATCTTGAGCCAGAACGTGATCGTAGTTGAACGGAGGGAGAAGACTTGTGGAAAATGAAAATGGACCATGAGTGGCTGTAACAGAGCCGAGTGAGCAGATCGAGGAGTGACAAGGGACTGTGCATGTGACCAGGGACTGTGCGTGTGACCAGGGACCGTGCGTGTGGCCAGGGACCGTGCATGTGACCAGGGACCGTGCGTGTGACAAGGGACCGCGTGTGCAGGCAAAGACATTGTGGCCTGGGCCCAGCCCTGCCCTGGCTCAGCAGGTGTCCTGGCGGCTACAGCCCCTGCCCTGAGGAAATTTAGAAGGAAATTACTTTCTTCCCAGGACAAAGGGCAGATTTGCCCCTGTTCAGGAGATAAGGGAGCAGAACCGGAAAAAATCTTTTTCCTCTCGGCCCAGTCCCTTGCAGTCACCAGGTCGACGTCTTGGAAGTCCCATGGCCAGTCGAAAGTGGTGCGTTCCATTAGAAAATGTAACCTTCTTTATCCTGACGGTGGTTTGCATTTGAATGCGTCCTGGAATTACAGGGGGAAGGAGGAACAGCACGAGCCTGGCCTCCCTCTGCTTATCACTCAGTGACCGAAATCCCACAGAGAAAACCTTGCCCGAGGCAAAATCTAACCAGCATTCAGTGAGCAATCCGCCCATACGTCCACCGTCCACCGTCTGCTCTGCGTGCGAAATAGTCTAGCGACTTAGCACGAAGTTACACACTAGTTTTTCAAATGTTATGCTGTTCAATTTCACAAGAAAACACTGTTTTATCGTTTAATGGAGTTTTAATTTCTAATAATCTCTGGAGTTTAATTTTTCTTATTTATTTTTAAATATTCAGTTTAAAACGGTCTGCCATTTTGACCTTAATTAAATGCTTAATCAAACATATTTTGACCAACTACCAAATGGTCGAGTAGTAAAGCCACATATTTGATTAAAGCCGGGTGTTACTGTGATGTGCCAAGTGAGCTTCTTGCTTCTAAGCATAAGTTTAAATTTCTGAAAAAAATTTATTAAATTTAACATATGAACTTACTAAACATAATTTATTAAATTTATATTTATATGTTGTTATATATTACATATTATATAAACTTATAATTTATATTTTATCAATTACTTTAAATTTTATTATTAAAATTTCAGTATTCAAATTTTAAAAGTCCAACATGAGAAGTGCAGGGTCAGTAATTCCTCAACACCAGAAGCTGCTAGGTGGACTCCGGTCACTACTCCACACGTGTCACCTAATCCTCTGCTAGGTGGCACGGCTGATGTCACCAACTTGTTAAAAACATAGCGGATATAATGCAGAAGAAAACTTTTCAGCAACATGAATTCTGGAAGGTATTTTATACTTAGGGTCCGTAGCTTAGGCAAAGCTTAAGCCCCTTCTATTCAGTTGAAAGGGCTTAGAAAACTATAACAATAATTTCAATAATTAAAATACGTATTTGACATTTTTGGTTTCAATTTATCATAACAAATTGTGAGGAATTTCCAGAGAGGGCTTTTCTTAAAAAACTCCAGGTCTAAATGGATTTAAATAATTACAAGTTGAATGCAGTTTTAGAAGTTTATTTTGTTTAATGTTACTAAAGGTAACAAAATTCTACAAATATAATAAGAATCATTATGAACTGTAACTTCAGTTATTCGCCAAGGTTCTTTGTAAAGGGCATCACTCGTCCCTGGGGAAATGCAAATCAAATCCACAGTGAGATGTCAGGGGCACTGGTCAGAATGGCCGTCATCGCAAAGACAGGTGGCAGCGAGAGCTGGCAAGGCCCACTGCACCATTGGCAGGAGCGTCCTGGGAAAGCCGCCGTGGAACAGCGTGCGGGGTCCTCAAAGAATCAGAACTGCGCGGCACTGCCCCGTGGGAGCAGTGCTGGCCTGGGACTCGGAGGGGCGGGGAGCCCGACGCGGCACCCGGTCAGAGGGCCTGAGACGTCTCTTTGGGAGGAGGTGGCTTCCCTGGGTGGACAGAGGCAAAGGGGAGGCGCCGACAGCTGGGATTATAGGTTCCGGGGACGGCCTGGTGGCCAGCGGGGCGGTCCGCGGGGCGGCCCCTCGCTGGTGGCAGCAGTCAGCCCAGCGCTGTGGCGGTAGAGCCCGTGGAGCCCGGGCTGGGGGCGGTCAGGGCGTGGAGGACTCGTGT